GAACACGACACCGCGCTTTACACCCAAATGCACGCACGCTGCCATCAACCTAGCCTCTTTTCAAAAAAGACGCACAAAACAGGTGGGCTCGCGATCGGAACACTGTTCCTGCAGACCACCGCCACCCCGCCAACCGACCCGTCACAATTCCCCGCGGCCCGCGCGGGCGCCCATACACCGCGGCACCCGACGGCGCGCAACCTCGATTGACCTGTCCAGCTTGTCATCAGTCGCGCGATGCTCTTGGTTGCCCACTACTGCACGTCCAGGCTAGGCCGCCAAGCATTCACGCACAGGCCCGCGCAACGCGGCGTCGGCCGCGGCAAAGAAACATTTGGCCTCGGCGCAAGTCGAACTGGCAGCTGGAGCCGACGCACGAACTAACGTCTGGACTTGAGGTCGCGGGGGCCTCCCTCGCTGCTCGCAAGCGGTCGCTGAAGTCGACGCCGGCGGCCACCTCGTCGGCGCCACCGCCCCCCCGGCGATTCCGCGCCGCGGGGTCGCCAGGGAATGCGACAGCAGCGGAACGCGACCAGGCTGCCGCCGTTCGCTCCCCAGGGGCTCGCGCCACGAAGCGGCGACCCCTTTCTCGGGGCGGGGCAACCCGTGGATGCCGATGACCCCAAACTGGTACTGCATGCTGCCGCAGCCCTCGAATGGGACGACACCGTCGTCGGCGCCGCCGCCCCGCCTGCGATTCCGCGCCGCGGGGCCGCATGGGAATGGCCACAGACATGGCTTCACCAAGCTTCTGCCGCTCGCTCTCCTGGGACTCGCGCCGGGGACGGGGCTACCCCGCGCCGTCGAGCCGACGCGCCGGCACTGCATGCACGCGCGCCCCAGACCGCGACGCCTGCCATGAGACGCCGAAGTCCTCGGCCAACCCCGCGCTCAAAATCTCCCTCGGCGCCCCCATCCTGGCAGGGCAGCACTGCAAGATCCCCGGGGCATGGAACGGAGAGGTCCTGCCCGTGGGGCTCCGCGCCCTCCGACGCCGCAGCGACAAAGACCAACCCGTCGAGCTCCTCGCCCCCCGAGATGCGCTGCCACAAGGGCCCCGCATCTGCGCGCAGCCTGCACTCGCTGCTCGTTGCCGCCATCATGCTGACACACGTCACAATCAAAGCCCCGATGCCGACCAAGACGTCAACAAGGAGAGAACTGCTGCATAGCCTTGCGCACCTCCCGCGCTGCCCCGCGCACTTCCCCGTCTCCATCTGGCACGGGCACACTGATCTGCAGCAGGAAACCCCTCGGCGACCTCGATGCTCTTCGACTCCCCGGGCGGCGCAGCTGGAGCCTGCAACGAAGCATCCTAGCTCGCACGCGGCTTCTCGGCGCGCTTCCCACCGAGCCCGGCAAGCTTCTTGTCAATAAGCTCTGGCAGCGTCGCCACCAGGTCCTGGCCACCAGCCGCCGAGCGGACCATGTCTTCCAACTCGGTAAGCACCACCTTAACCATGCCAACGTCAACCTGCAAAACGGGCTGATCTTTGTCGTTCTTGGACTCTGAAGGTCTTGCGGTGCTCGCCCCGATCTCGAGGAGCTTCTGCTCGACGTCCAGGGCAACTGCACGCGCCGCCTGGGCGGCCACCACATCTGCTTCGATAGCAGCCTGCATGGCCGCGACCTTAGCCTACTTGCTGGCGCTGGCCTCATCGAGTTGCGCAGCATTCTGCGTCGTCCTTTTGAGCTTCTCAATGAACCCACAGAGTTGCTGGGACAAGGGCTGGCGCCCCCGCAACATGGATAGCTTCTCGGCCTTCTCAGCCTCAACCTTCGCCCTGTAGGCGATGCGCTCTTGGCTGCGATCGCCCCCGATGACTTTGAGTATCCCGTCGGTGGCCGCCAGCCGATCCTCGATGATACACCCTCCTCAATGTCACCTCCTGCAGCAGGCGCGTCCTTTATGTCAGCCGTGCCATGACGCTTCATCTAAGGCTGTAGTTGTTCAGGCAACTACTGCATCTGCTTCCTGAGTCCATGTAGTGCGTCGCCGCCGCCAACCCCAACCCAGGTCCACGCCTTGCGCCTCCGAGCGGAGGGTTGTTCGGCTTGGACATTAGCCTCGAAGGCCGTTGCATTGCACGTACTACACTGGGCACATTGCAAGCAGGCGGCGCCGTGAAGCCAACTCTTCCTTGTCTGACCGTGAACGCACCACCTGCGCTCCCACCTCTGCCGCGGTTGATCACGACTCCCGCCATGGTACATCGGGCACATTACAGCGTGAGCTCGAATGGCTGAGGAAGGGGCTCGAAGAAAGGCCTAACCTGTCGAGAACGCGGGGTCTGAGCCTGCCCCTTGGCTGCACCAAGCTGACGCCCCAATGGCTCCGAGGTTGCAACTTGAGTCAAGATGGTTATGGACGATCTTCGCGTCGGTATAGGGAAACAATTAGGGGACACTGCACCGCTCCCCAAACCCACAGTTGGCACGCGCGGGAAGACTGCGGTCGAAGTGCAGCTCATTCAACCCACCGCCCACATTGATCGGTGGGGGAGGGCATTGACAGATGAATGCGGCACGAGTGTTCGCAAATTTCTTCCGAGGCCTGGTGCTCGGGGCAACGATCCCTCGTAAACTACGCCATGGGTGTGCTCTCGAATCCAAACGCCCTTGTGAGTTATGTAAAATTCGCGTCCTGAAGCCACTACCCAGTACATTATGCTCGTTTCGCCGAGGCCATGATCCCCCGTAAGGTAAACAATAGCCGCATCCCCGAAGCCACTACCCCTCGAAAATTACGCCGTAGCTGCGTCCTCGAAGCCATCAGCATTCGTCAATTATACCATAAAATATGTGCGTCACCGACGCCACGATAACTAGTAAATTAGCTATACTCGCACCCTCGAGGCCACAGTCCTTTTGCAATGTACGCTGCATGCGCGTCCTTGAGGCTACGATCCCTAATACATTACGCGATGTTCGCGTCCCGAAACCACGATTGTCAGCAAGTTCGCAATGGGAGGCGTCAGAATTCGAGAGATGGTTTCCAGAGTTGCTGTGCAAACCGTAACGTACGATATTGGCTTTCGCGTGAGGCCCTACCTTCCTTCACGACGGTGCCCTTGAATCCCGACTTAGCTCTGGCATGCCCCAGTCTAAGAGAGAGAGAGAGAGCGAGAAAGACCAGCGGCAATGGGCGAAGCACTTACGGGTATGGTCCGACTGACGCGTGACGACTGGCTTCAGCCGGGTCAGAAACAGGCCCTGTCTGATGCGAACCTTGCGCACGAACCCGATCTGCCACGCGCGCAAGCTCGCCGCACACGAGACCGAATCCTGCAAAGACGTCCCTGCAGCCTGCGGTTACGATCGCCAGTCCCGCAGGTGGGTGGGCGTGGGGGGAAGGGACCAGGGAGGGGAGTGAGGCGGAGCGAAGAGGCGGGAGGGAGGAGGGAGGAGGAGGGAGGGAGGGGGGCGGGGAGGAGGGGGCACGAGAACGGAGGAGGAGGGAGGGAGGAGGAGCGAGGGGGCGGAGCAGGAGGGGAGGAGGAGGAGAGAAGGAGTAGGAGGAGGAGGGGGGGGCGGAGGAGGAGGAGGGGGAGGAGGGGGAGGAGGGAGAGGAGGGAGGAGGAGGAGGAGGAGGAGGAGGAGGAGGAGGAGGAGGAGGAGGAGAGGGGAGGAGGAGGAGGAGGAGGGAGAGGAGGAGGAGGGGGGAGGGAGGGGAGGGAGGGAGGGAGGAGGAGGGGCATGAGAAGGGAGGAGGAGGGAGGCGGAGGGAGGGGGGGAAAGAGAAGGGAGGAGCAGTCCCCAGTCTCGCAGAGGGGGCGGCGGGGGGGGACAGGGAGGAGGGAGGAGGGAGGAAACAGGGCGAAGGAGGGCGCAGACCGCCGCGCTCTCTGCAAGGCACGAGTGCCTGGCAGGGAGTCTAGTTCAGGCAGGGAGGGAGGGGGAGGGAGGAGAGAGAGGAGGAGAAAAACGAGAAGGACGGAGGACGGGGTGAGGGAGGAGGAGCGAGGAGTGAGAGGAGACGAGGAGGAGGATAAGAAGGGAGGAGGAAAGGGAGGAGCAGGACGAGGAGAAGCAGTGATAGAGGAGGGAGCAGGAGTCAAAGGAGGGAGAGGAGGAGGAGGAGGAGGAGGAGGAGGAGGAGTATGAGGAGGAGGAGGAGGAGGAGGAGGAGGAGAAGGACCAGTGCAAACCCAAAACGCTTTAACGATGTTACACCAAACCCTCCCTGCGCGTTCCCTTTTGTCACAGGTCCCTACAAGAACTTCTGTTAGGTGCAGGGAATGCCCCATTGAAAAACAATCATCTGAGAACCATTAACAGTGCCAACATGACCGCTGCGTCCTGACAATCCGAAACCGTGCCAGGACACCATTCCTGGGACTCCACCACTTCGAATCAAGGTGACTGTTGCGCCCTGACAATCCCAAACCGTACCAGAACACCATTACTAAGAATTCAATCCTACAAACACTTGAGACTGCTACAAACTTGTAGGACACATCTGCGCGGCGCTGAATCGAGAACGACTCTTTGAAAACATACCGCCCTGCATCCTTGGAGCTGTTGCAAAATATTTACAACGAAAGTGCGCGGCGCTGAATTGAGAACCACATTTTAAAAACGGCCCGCCCTGCATTCTTGGATAGGTTGCAAGATGCTTGAACCGAGCGTGCACGGCGCTGCAGCGACAACCACATCTTAAACAAGACCCACCCTCCATCAGTAAAACTGCTGCAAGTTTTTCAAACGAATGTGCGCGGCGCAGAGGCGAGAACCACATTTTGAAAAAACGGCCCGCCCTCTATCCGCGAAACTGTCACAAGCTTCAAGCTTCAGGATGCAAGAATTGTGAGGAAGTCTCAGGCGACACGAGGATGGGGAAGAGGCAGATGAGGAAGGGGAGGAGGAGGTGGAGGAGGTGGAGGACGAGGAGGAGGAGGGCGAGCAGAACGGCCAGAGGCCTCTTGGATGCCTCTCGGTTCGAGCCCTCTTGGGGCGTCTTGGGGGCCACGATCCCCGCAGTCTCGTCAACCCCGTCGAGC